TATTAGAGGATACCACATATCTTTTCAATTGAGTTGAATGGTTCCTATATCTCTTTAGAAAGTTTCAGGCAAAGTGACCAGTCTCGCCAAATTGGAAACAAGCTCCATTAAGAAGTCTGCATACTCTTTAGTGCACTCTACCACATGTATGACATACATTTCATTCTCCAAGTGCTCTACCCGAGCTAACAGTAATCGACTGGGATTGTTTAGTTTTTTGTGAAGCTGTAATAGAACCATCTCTGTCCATATATCTAGAACTCCAGCCCTTGACTCTCTTAACATAATAGGGAGTTGAAGGCGTCCAACCTTTTTTCCCATATGCAACCTCTGTTCCGCTGCTAATGTCTATGATTGAGCTATCTTGATAGCTTTCGCTTGGTTAATAACTTTTTGTAAGTTAGACAAACTCAAAGGCAACATAATCAGCCTCGTACTCATGTACTACTCGGTCTCCTTATTTCAAATTAAGAAACTTCATCAGCATCACGCGTCTGAACTGCTCCCCAATATACTTATTGTTAAATTCTTCCTGGAATAACTAATAGGTCAATTATTCCAGTGGTGCATACATTGTAGTATTTGACCACCATACTCTAGCAGATCCCCTTGAAAATGATACAACTCGACCCAACTTCTTTGAATCCGAGCAGTGAAGACTTTTAAGCATTATCATTACATCATTCAGCCGTAAATCATCTTCCATAGGCCTTTATCCTCTTCTCCATCAAATTCGGGAGCTCCTAAACTCTTCAGCTCCTTTGGGATCAACATCCTCGGTACTAGAGGAGCAGAGGGAGGCAGAGAAGTTGAAAAAAAGTCAATATGGCATTGAGAGCTTGCATAAAAGCTCCAAATTTTGGTACCGACATCCCTTGATGTGCAAGTGAACTAGTATTTTCATATGTGACTAATTACTCACTATTAGCCTCATAAGGTTTGCTACCAGCCCTTTCTCTCATCTCTCGTTCCCTCGCTCTACGCGAGTTCGAGGATTTTGACATCTATTAGAACATGCATAGTAACAACATTACAGTTAGTAAGGAGTGTCATCAATTACACTCTAATTACACCATATCAGTAACCTTGACAATCTTGGTGGATGTAATCCATTTTTTTATTTTTTTATTTCACATGAACTCAGTTTTGGCCAAGATTAGACTAAACCTATAGTTTTGATACCAATAAATGTAACACTCATCCCTCGTATACCCTTCCATACACGAGATACAAATGTCACATCACTTTTTAAAACATTTATGTCATTTGAAAACTCGTAAAATTTTATTTCAAATTTTAAAACCAAGAAAGTATAACATTCATATAAGCATAATGTTAGAATTATCAATTTAAATACATTACAAAATATTTACTTAAGTTCAATTACATGACAACTATGTTTTCAAAATGAGTAAGATTGTCCCAATGTTATTGACGAGTCAATCTTTAATTAATGAAGTTGTTATTGTTGCACTCCTTACTCAAAAAATCTTTTATTGTTACATACGCGTGAAATCAACACACGTTAAGTATTTACTTAGTGATGCATAACCTTGTAAAAGAATTACAAATTATTCATAAATATGTCTCGACTATCAAAACCATGATCAATTGTCTACTTTATGGGAATCCTTTACAATCATTTTGTTACATCAATAAATAACATTGTTTATATCAAAATACAATGCAAAATCTTTAGTCTTTTACCCAAAGGCATTTAGACACTTATCTAACTTGCATGATTAACTCCTTTCTGCCAAATGCATAGCTACGTAGATGATCTTTTACTCAAAGATATTTAACCTTTCATTTAAATGGCATAATTGACACATTTCTATCAAATGCAAAGCTAGGACATTAATCTTTTACTCAAATGAATTTAGCATTTCATCTAACTCACATAATTGACACCTTTTTGTCAAATGCATAGCTAGGCCATTAATTTTTTACTCAAAGGTATTTAACATTTCATATAACTGGAATAATTGACACATTTATGTCAAATGCACAATTAGGCCATTAATTTTTTACTCAAAGGTATTTAACCTTTCCTCTAACTGGAATAATTGACAACTTTCTGTCAAATGCATTGCTAGGCCATTAATCTTTTATTCATAGGTATTTAACCTTTCATCTAACTGTCATAATTGAAACCTTTTTGTCAAATGCACAGCTAGGTCATTAATCTTTTACTCAAAGGTATTTAACCTTTCATCTAACTGGCATAATTGACACATTTCTTTCAAATGCACAGCTAGGCCATTAATCTTTTACTCAAAGGTATTTAACCTTTCATCTAACTACCATAATTGAAACATTTCTATCAAATACACAACTAAGCCATTAATCTTTTACTTTAAAATAATTTATACCCTTAAGATTCTTCATAGTGTCAATTCCACACATGTTATAAACATATATCATTTAAAGTAAAACATACATTAATTTAAACATTTGATGTGAACTTATTATAATTCTCTCTCAATCAATATAATTACCATATATGCACTCAGCTGATATGCTTCCCCAATATACTGTAGTGATGTCCAACTACTCAGTAACTTTGTCTTTGCCCTTGTTCTTACTTCACTCAAGAGCTTGATTACGATATGCTCAAGCATCCATTAAGTACACATTACATAACAATTATAGTATACTCCTTAACATCTATACTTTAATAATACTCAAAAGTACTATTATTTAAATTTCAATAACAATCAGCCTATCATATAATCACTAGATCAATAGTATCGGTACCCTTACCTTGGTATCGATACTTCTGTACCATGGTGCAAATACTCCCTTTCAGTACCAATATCATTTCTACATTATGAATTCATGGTATCGATACCTTTCTCTCAATATCTATACTACTATAATATGGTATCGATACTCTATTTTAGTATCAATACCATTTTGGAATTTCGGAAACCCATGGTATTGATACTCTCCTCTTAGTATTGATACCCCATCAGTATCGATACTAATTGCATTAGTATCGGTACATTTCATCATTTTTATACCCATTTAAGCCTATAGTATCGATATTGTTCTATCAGTACCGATACCCTTACCAAGAATTTCCATTTTCAGCCCGATTCTTATCCAAAGTTGGTCAATTTTCCTTATGTTTACTCCCAACAATACTATTAAACTCTTATTTACTTATAACTACTAGCTTTCCATCATTTAGCTTATTCAAACATCTAAAATCTCTCAAGAACATTTCAATCTGAAAATCACACCACTTTTTCTAACATGTTTTTACTCATATATAAAAGCTTCTAATCTCTTATTTACTTCTTTGACAAGTCAAATATAGTAATAAACATTAGTAAAAACTCATAATCTAACATATCCTTCAAAAACCATTTTCTGTAATCTCTAATAACTCATCCATCTCCTTATTTTAACCTTATTTAACCCTTCCTTAAGCTTAGATATCACTTAAGGTTGTAATAACAAACTATTTCGAAAGGAAAAACTAATTAGATGAGATTTGCCTTGGCTATGGAGGAGGAACAAAGTTACGGGAGAAAGAATAAGAGAAATAACGTAACCTTGTTCCTTTTAACTTCCCCCTTCTTAAATCCCTATTAAAATTTAAATTTTAAATTCATTTTATTCCCAATAACCAAAATGCCTTTTTTAATCATCCATTGTTACAATTTTGTACAAACCACTACTCCAAATCATTTCTCATCTTTTATCATTTAATCAAATAAATCCTTAAATTTTAAATCTTTTTGCTAAAGTCCCATAATTGATATTTGGAGTCTTACACATCGTGAGTAGCATCACCATTTGTGAAAGCAACATTTAGTATAAATGATATTTCTTTTTGACTGATTTATCATAGCATTCTTAGTAAGCTTGTTTAGATTACTAAAAAGATATATTCTTTAATTGTAATTGGTTAGTGATTATCTTCAAGAGAGGAATGCCTTCTAGGTTAATTCTAGACATATCAAAATTGTTACTACATCATTGTTGGTTACATGCTACTGTTTGACTTTTCATAATCATTTTTCTAAATCAATAATTTGCTTCGTTTACTTGTTCTGTAATCTCTTTATTTTTTATTATATTTTTAATCAAATTATCTCGACATCGCTCGTTAATTTAGTTATAAACAACTACATGTTTTGGTGCACAATAATTCCTTAAGTAATCACTAATCTCCATAGGAAACGATACTTCAGGCATACAAGTGTTTCCATTTTATTACTTGGTGGACGATAGTGTATACTTGCACTTTTTCTATTACAATATCCAAAGCATCAAGTTTTTGGCATCGTTGCCAGGGATTAGTGTCCTTACTTTGAAAATTGACTTTTTACTAACATAGTGTTCATTTTTTGTAAGTAACTTTTAACATGACGTTTTCGATGCATGATTCAAATAAAATAACTATAAACTTTTTTTTCTATTGATCCTAAAATAGAGATAGTTATTCATGAAAAAGATAAGAGCGTCAAGAACATCCAAAAATAGAACCACCTACTTCACAAGAAGAAAGGAAACCACCATTGCCAATTGAGGAAAATAAATGCCAAGCGGAGTAATTAGGACATACAAAAAGGATAACTACTCCTTTGCAAAATATTTTTATGCTGCCAAATTATCATTACATCAATGAGTAGGCTAATTCGTGAAAACGTTGTGCCCATATTAGATGATTTGAATCATGGTATTATTATTCCTACCATCCATGTTACACATTTTTAATTAAAGTCGGTTATGTTCCAAATGTTGCAGTCGAGCCAATATATTGGAATGCATACCAAAGACCCTCATGCAAACTTGAGAGCATTTATTGAAGTTTACAACTCATTCAACAAGAAGTGTCCGAAAAAGACTTGAAGCTGAAGTTTTTTTTCCCATATTCTCTTCTTGAGAAAGCCACAACGAGACTTATCTCATTGCCACCAGGGATAATAGCCCACAAAATGAACTTAACCAAAATATTTACTTTGATTTAATCCTACAATATGAATGCTAGATTGAGGAATGATATCACTCTTTTTAAGAAAATAAATGATAAAAATCTATATCAAGCATGAGAGAGATTCAAATATTTATTGTGTAAATGCCCAATGTATGGTTTCTAGCATTAGACGAAAATGAAAATATTTTTAATGAATTAAACACACAAAGCATAATGGTTGTGGACACATTAACAAATCGAGCTTTATTAGACAAATCATACAATGAAGCATATGACATCCTTGGAAGAATCTCCAAAAATAACTATCAATATCTAAATGGAAGGATCATGTCTTGAAGAAGAGTTATTGCTATAACAGACAATGATTAATTGAATGTGTTTACTACACATGTGACAAGATTGACTGATATGAAGAAGAATCTATGACAATATAGAGGTATGTATGAAGCTAAATCAAAATCAACTTTTCTTGTGTTTACTGCAGTGAAAATCATAATTTTGAGGAATGTCTACAAAATCTCGATTTTGTGTATTTCATGAGGAACTATAATTGGAGTGACAATGCCATCACCAAAGAGAACACCTACAATATGAACTTCATGAATTATCCCAATCTATCATGAGGAATGTAGGATGTAGTAAACCCTAATACAACATTAAATTCAAATTTTAGGAGTACACAACCAAAATAGGATTCACAACAATAGTACATAAAACAAAAAACCAATGCTTCCACAATAACACTCATAACTTCAACCAATATAACTAAAACATCAAACAATAAAAATTATTATCAGGGGCAGTCCTCATATCAAGCCAATGCATCTTCATAATTGGAGTCTCTACTAAAGGAGTAAATCTCAATATATAATGGTAAGATATAGAGTTGATCAACATCACTATGTGTATTAGAGAATCAAGTTGGATAATTGGCCAAAGAGTTATCATTTAGGTTCTTTTAACCTGGGTTTAGTTTGAACTCTAGCATTATTAAGAGCACATTACAAGAATTTATTCATGATTTCACACTATTTGCATCATGGGAATGAGTTTGCATCTTTTAGGGTATTTTACTACATTTTGGTAAAAAAAATAGTACACTGATGCGATGTCGTTACTCTATGTTGTAGGTAATGTTGTAGGTAATGTTGTGATAGGTCATTGTGTAGAACTAATAGAAACTACTGAGTCATAAGTGGTTAAATAAAGTTTTGAAAGGGGACAACTGGTTGGACATATGTTATTCATCCCAATTATCACCTGACAAATGGTGTGTTTTTATCTAATTAAGACTTGACTTCTTGGACTATAAATAAGGGAAGTAATCAAACCATATGGATGATTATTTTCTCCAAGATTTTATTTTTATTTCCATAAAAAATCCATGGTCACCTGAGTTCTTCGTCAGGAAGTGCAGCAATAGTTGGGGGAGCTTGTTGTGTAGCCGCGATGATCATGATAGTTCATGTCAATGTTGTTCCTTCAATAAAGATAGGGTAATTGCAGTCTAGAATGAATGTTTTCTTTCATTGTTGTGGATGTTATTTAGTTTCAAACACCATGTGTTTGTTTTAAGGTTTCTATTGCATTTAATGTTTTAACTTGCTTTCATTTGTTGCCATACTTAAAAGATGAGTTTAGAAATAAAATTAGCTTCATACATGGATGTTAATATGAGTTTTATAAATGAAGATTATGTATATTTCATGTAAAGTTTTAAACATCTTTGGTTTTGCAAATAACAAGTTAGCACAACAAGATGTATATTGCCATTGTCATGCATTGTTAATTTATTTGATTTCTTGAGTTAATGAAAATTGACTCTAGTGAATCGAATGTTGTAAATATTTGTGTAACACATGAAAATATTTTATTCATCATAATCGTAGTGGAAATTGTCTTATATAACTTGCACCTTTTTAATCCTTGATCAGAAGCTTTTCTATTTGATGTAGCACTGCCTGAAATTTCATCTTTTGTAATCTATTTTTCTCTATGTGGGTATGATATCCGAAGCTTTATAGATTCCACTTATTACTTGAAGATGACAGTATATGATTGCATTTTGTAGTAGCATTATCATAGCATCAAGTTTTTGGCATCATTGTCGGGGAGCAATGGTTTTGTATTAGAGTTGTTTATTTTTACTTACATTGTTAATTTCTTTTTATAGGTATTATTTCTTTTTACTTCTCATGTATGTCCCACTAAGACAATTGAGACTTAGAGCCTTTTTGTAATACCCTAAATTTTGGTTATTGAACAAAATGAAAAATTCAAAAGTTTAGTGGCCAAAGTATAAAGTTTGGAAAGTTTAGGGACTAACATGTTCATTTTCCAAAAACATGGGGCCAAAAATGTAATTTCCAAAATTTATGTGTTTTGGCCTTGTAAATGAATAGTTCAACCTCAAGAATGAAATTTTGATGAGAATCAAAAAAAATTATATTGAATTTATGATTAAAGTGTTGAAGTTCGGTAAAATTCGGTAAAACGGATCAAATAGAAAATTTAGGGAAATTTAAAGGGCATTAAATTGAGCTTAGAAATATTAGTTTTCACATGTTAATATAATGTAAAATAATAAGGTCGTTGGATTTGAGAATTTATTTCCATGGTTATTTTGGACCGTTGGATTAAAAATTGCAAGATTGAAAATTTGGAAAGATTGCATGGAAAAGTTGTAAAGGGTTAATTAATTTGTTCATATTTGAATTTGGAAGATGATAACCAACATGTGGCTTGGTATGGATGTAAATATAAGGTTTCATTAATGGCAAAATTTCCATTTCTTAATTAAATGAGTTTTAAATTCATTTAAGCTTAAATAAAATGATAAATAACATGAAATTAACTATAATTTCATGAGACCAATCCATTTTTCAGTTCCATTTCGTGATACTCCCTACCTAGGTAATAGAAATATTATTTTTCATTTTTGAGCAATTTCCTTTGGATTTTGGATCTAACCGTGAAATAGAAATCATTATATTTGAACAGTTATATCATTTGGTGCCATTTTTGCATGTTAATCATGCTTGTGTTCAAAGATCCCAAATTATAGGGTTTATTGAATTGATGATGGATTTTGATGTTGTTAAGGTTGTAGAATCATTTCCAAGCTTGATGATCAAATCATGATCAAACTTCTTAAAAATGGAACTATGATTTTTGGCCTAACCCAAAAATCAAGGGATGTTTGTGTTATGAAGAAATTTGATCGTAGATATTTTACAATGTTGAATAGAGGTTGATTTCATACTCGAATTGAATCGAAATCAAGTGAAATCAGGAAAACCCTAATCTTGAATGTTTAAAGTATTCGACCTACGCTATGAAGGGTGAGAAAAAATATGGAAAATTATTTAGGGGCTGGAAATTATGTATGAAGCATTCTAAAATTGAGGTTATGGGTTAAAGTGTAAATGTGCAATCATTGATGTATTATACTGGAAATTAATTTTTGAGTGTTGAAATTGAAGTTAGAATGTGAAATTGGATTATTTTGGATAGTTGGTTAAAATTGAGGTTCAAATCACAAGTTTGGAAAAGTTATGAACTTAAGTGAAACTGTGATGAAAATATTGGATAAAAAGGTACTTGAATGGTTAATTTGAAGTTTTATTGTCAACAATTATGTTGTGACATGGAATTAGTATCAAATGAGTATCAAAAGAATTTTTAGGAAAATATTTTTTATTGTGTGTATATGTTAATAAGATTCTAACATGTGGTTTGAACTTGTATATGTTTTGTAATGATACTCATTTATATTGTGTGCTTCAAATCAAGATCAAATATTATCAAATCTAAGGAGAATCTTAAGGATGAAATGTAAATTTTAAAGAAAAGTTTTCAAGCAAAAGAAACTAGGTGAGTACAAATTTAATTTGTACTTATGTTTTTTAGCAAACATTGGCTTGCGATGAGCCAATGATAGAGTTATTATGGTAAGGAGTGACACATAAAATGTTATGTAATTTTTGATGCATGCATATATGTGCATTTCATGAACTAATAGAATTAATGACAAGTTGAAAATGCAAATTGGTGAAGCCTGCTTAGAAATTTAGTTCTAGATAGTAAGTTTAGAAAACCACCATGAATTCTAAAAACGATTAGAGGATTATTTTATAGCATTGGATTCATATATTAGTCTAGTTTCTTTCTAAAAAATTGGGACTGATTTTGCGGTATATACAAAAATATAAGAATTTTTAACTGATGATAGGTCAGAAAATGGGCAACAGATTCTACTTAAAACAGATTATGTCGGTCAACTTTGAAAATTCACAATAAATTGTACAAATTGAACTAGAAAAAGTGCCTTATATGGATATATTTTTATTTGATTCAGTTTTATAGTGGTATAAACAAAATAACTTTTAAAGGTTTATATTAATATAAAATAATATATATTTAAAGGTAGTGCAAACCACTGGGATATGAAATTATGACAAATTTTGGGATTTAACAAAATTAGAAGCAAACGATCAAGTTAAAGCTTAGTGAGTTTTATATTTTGACTTGTATGTAATGTCAAAATGAGTGTAATGCGTGCATAAAATTATACATGCATGCTTTATAAATCATCAGGTAGGACTTGCGATGCGTCTACCTTATCTATGTTCACATGATATTTATGTCATTCATCATATATTTGACATATTTTAAATATGTAAAAGGTTGAAATAAAATGCATTGATCACTTATCGTTTTATATGATGTTTATCATGAACATATATGATATTTATCATGAATGATATTTCTGGTATGAACTACCCAATGTTAAATTGTGATAATATACTTTTCAACGGATTGAACAAATAAAATATATTGTATGCCCCAGTAAGCCGTTAAAGGACAAGGTGTAATTGGCATGTCATAGAGTCTAGCAGTTGCATAATCAGATTATCAATATATTGTGTAAGGACACTTAGTGAAACATTATAGTGTGTAGATACACTAAGTGCATATGGTACTATAGTAGAGCATTGTAGTGTGTAAGGGTACTCAGTGTGGCACTGTGGTGTGTAAGGACACTCAGTGCATATGGTAAGCACTTTGGTGCATCTTTGACTCGAATACCTAGGGTCTGTAGAGGGTAACATTTGGGCTATGGTTTATTGGTTTATAAATGATAAACAAGTGAATGAGCT